AGGCTGTGCCTCCCCTTCCATACTGAGCTAAAGACTCAGCCTAGCACTGACATACACTTGTTAGGCCTCCAGCCTTTTCTAGGCCTTGAGATGCCTGTCTGAGAAATGGGTACAATAAGGACCAAGTCAACCACTTTCCAAGCACCAAGGAGGGTAGATAAATGTTTGGAGGAACCATGACTTAACTTGCTTTCCTTTGGGCCCCACTCTAGTCAGCTTGAGGAGTAAACAGAGCAGAGTCATGGGATGCCTAGAAGTCATGCTACAGAATTGAGTTCAGGCTGTATCAACACCCCTTTCTAGGAGTGGAAGGCAGAGGCAAGGAGTCTGTCTGCTAAAGAGGAGGGAACACACAGGAGGTGACCGGACTGAAACACCACACACTGAGTCATTTGGGCCCTTTGAAGCCCAACTCCCCAAATGTTGCCTTGCCTAGCTAGGGACCTTTCACTCACGGAAATAGGGTGGATTTCTTAAACCTTCACCTCCACCAAGGCTCTTTCCCAGAGCCAACAAGGGATCCACCATATCTGCTGGGACTTGCTGTGTACAGGGTGTGCCCTCCCTGCCAAGGGTCCCTTGCTTGCCACCGCCCCCGCCCCATCCCACCATTCTGCCTCTGTCCCTGAAGCTGTCTTGGGCTCCTCACTCTGAGGCAGGTTGGATCAAGCCAGGGAAAGTGCTTTGTCAGCTCCGACTCTGCAGAAGGTAGACACCAGGGCTGAAGACAGTCCTATCATGTGGATAGTTACTCCACAGCCTGGGCCACAGGCTGTCCTTTTGAGCTCTGCTCACTTCTAATATCCTCAGCTTGTCTCCCTCCCAGCAGTGCAGGATCACAGTGGGGGGCCCTGTTCTGCCTCCAGGTCTTCGAGGGTTGATGATAGCCGTAATGATGGCTGCACTCATGTCATCGCTCACCTCCATCTTTAACAGCAGCAGCACACTCTTCACCATGGACATCTGGAGGCGGCTGAGGCCCTGCGCAGGAGAGCGGGAGCTGTTGCTGGTGGGGGGGTATGGGAGGGCTGGGGAGGGGCCTCTGCAGCACCATCGTCCTCACCAGATTTGGATTTTGAAGGATGCATAGGAATTTGCTAAGCAGAGAAAGAAGGGAAGAGCCCAGAGTAGCTGGGGTACACTTGTCATTCCTGAGCAGAGTCCTTCAACTGGGATCAGTTCTGCTTCCCCAACTACGCCTAAGATCTTTCTGAGCCTTGTGGTTTGCTCCAGCTACCCTGGGATCCCAGAGCTAATCCTCAAACTGGCCACACCCAGACCATAATGATGCCCCTAGTCTTAGGCCTACAACACCCTGGGCCACCTGAGGATCTGCTGTTTCCTCTGGCTGGCTTATCCTTTCCTTACTCAGCCCAGCACTCAGCCTCATCTCTGTCCTCTGAACAGCCCTCCAGATACTTCCCCGCAAGGAGTGGACACTCCCCACTGTACCCCAGATCACTACCAGATCCCTCCCTGAGTGTGCAGCAACAATAATTCAAAATGAGCCTCCCTGCAGAACACTTCTGCCCTACCCCTGTGCTTGACTGTGACCCTGGGAGGGACTGGCCAGGGCAATTGAGAGTGGTCTCGTGTGCCTGCTCCCTTAGCAGTAACAAGGGCTGACTGCAGCCTTCCTCCTAGAGCCTGGGGCAGGGGCTCTCCCCTGAGTTGTCCCCAGTGATGCAAAGCAGCCAGCTTCTGTGAGAAGAGCCCTGTTAGAACATGCCTCGGAGCCGGGGTGTCATGAGCTCATCTGCAGGAAGGGAGCCTCTGGCCTCTGTAGCAGTTCAGGTTCTTATCTATCAGACCTGGTCACATGACACCTGACCACCTGTGTGCTCTCTGCAGCTGTCGTGTGACCAGAGGCCAGTCCCTCTGAGATAGCTTTTTCCCTGAAAGAAGCTCTTCAGACTCCCACCTCCTAGGCGCTGGGCCTGGACACCTCTGTGCCTCGCAGTGGGTGTCCCGCTCTCTGTTCTGGGACTCTAGCTGCCCTCTCGCAGCTGCCCCATTCCGTCTCTTCCCTTGGGGTTCTATGCCCAGCTGAGCAATTCGGAGGACTCTCCCCTCTCCCCCCTCAAACTCTCACACAGCACAATACAACGCTTTCAGTGCCAGCCACTCCGGAGATTGGGGGTGTGCGCGCCCCCTGGAGGCTGTTTAAGGAAGAGGCAGCCGCCTCCTCATCCAGGGGCCTGGCTTGGACCGAAGGCCATGAGTGAGATGAGGCCCAGGAGCTGCTAAGCCCTCCTAAGCCCTCCGGCTGGAT